GGCCGGCGCGGCGCGGCCTGTGCCCAGCCTCTGACTTGGTGCCGGCATGCGTCACAGCCGTTGCTGCTGCTAAGCTGACTTTGTATGTCGTCATGACATAAATGGTGATTCATACTGTGGTGTAAGAGGCCTGTAATTTCTTAGGTGTTGTCTTTGTACAATCTGGGATCCTTATTAGCTCACCTGGTTTGGCTGAATGATCCATAATTTCACCTTTTTTTTTTTAACTTTTTTTTCCTTAGCTCGGATGGAAGTTCTATGATGCAGACGACTATCATTCTCCAGAGAATAAAAAGAAGATGGCAGAAGGGATACCACTAAATGATGAGGTACCTCGTATAAACCCGAAAGAACAGTCATCGACACGTTTTTCTTTGTAACCTCTGGTAGATCATGTTAAAGTAGATTGTGCTTTATAGACTAGGCCGACTGCAAACATAGGCTGAAGTTACAGGTCTGCAGCTGGCTAAGAAAGGTGTTACAAAAGAATTCTGCATTAAAAAAATAGTTTATCAAAGTGTGCTCAGTAGCTCACAAGGGGTTTGATACTGATTCAGAACCTGTCAGAAATCTGTCCCTCTACATCAATACACAGAATTGCAACTTTAGATTACGTACTGCTGCTTTGAGTTAAATACAAGAGGACAGACAAATGTGTCTAGTGAAGTACATTGCATCACTTGCAGTGACTGCAGGGATTACTCCACAATCTTCTGTTTTATATGCGCCTGCTTAAAATGTGCTTCCTTCCCTTCAGTCAGTTCTTCAGCATAAACAGATAAAAATGATCAAGTTTCATTTTACGGTACTGAGGAATTCAGAGACTTGAGTGAATTAGAAAAGTTACAAGACAACACCTCTTTAGCTTTTTCTGGGAAATCTCTAGAAACATAAAGCTTCTAGAGACTCTTCTTCAAAGCAGTCTCCATAGACTGAAAAAAAAATACTCTAGATTCTTGTTAAAAACTTTAATCTTTCACTAGTGGTTGGAAGTTCATAGAGGCCAGTATGTTGTCTAAAGCAGCATTGCACAGCTGAGTGACTGAACTGTTGGTGGGTGGTGCCCAGCAAGAAGGAAGCATCTCTTCTGAAACATCAGAGATGCAAAATGGTGAGGCTGTTCTTGAATGCCAGTGGGAAGTTATCCTGTAATGACAATAATAAACGTTTCATTTATTTGTCCACATGATGATTTGTTGTGCTCACCCAGTAGTAACAGCACTGAAAGATGAAATGGAAGCAATTGTTTAGTGCTCAATAGGTATGACAAAAGTTTGTGGGAGCTTAAAATTTAAAGTAAAATTATAATGAGAAGCTGATCAATCACACTGTGTTTGTCTAACTACTGAGCAATGGTGTTGCAAATTGTGGCTATGATTACATTTATTTGTGACTGCTACTGACATAAAAAAGACGTAATTAAGTTATTGCAGATAACTAAATTTAGATCTGTCTGTTCCTGAAAACCTCAGCTTTGATCCAAAGCATTGTGTGTGTATGCCAAGATATAAGGAAAAAGAAATAACAATTCAGGCTGTACATTTGAATTGCATAATAGAAGCAAGAGAGAAGTTGGTTGTCCTTCAGAGGTTTACAAGGTGCATGCGACACCTAAGTACATACTGCTTCCATGAGATACTTTTAGGCATCTGTAATACGAAACGTACTATTCCACTAAAAGCATCTTATTGATAATACGCCTAGCACTTCTCATTAGCCTTCAGGCAGTGGTAGCAAATCCACATTAGGAAGAAAGAGAATCAAAACAGAACTTGCTGTACAGTTTAATGCTAATTTTCACCTCTAGTCAAATGCTGTAGATGTTAGAAGCAATTGTTTCAAATCAATTTAATGAACAAATTTGAAGTAACTTGTTTTCTTTCTAGGACAGGATTCCCTGGCTTTGTGCATTGCATGATATATTAAGGAGGTAAGAGAACATGTAACTTTAAGGAGCTTGGGCGACAGACAAAAAAAGTACCAAAAGTATTTTCCCTGTTGCATTTCAAAGCGGAAGTATATGTAGTAGTGTAAAAACATTCTGCAGGTAATAAAGCCATTCTGTTTTCACTAATCTAAGGTGTCATATTAATTGCTGAGGGTGAGATAATCCCTGAATAATAGCGTTGGGAAAATTGTTGCCAATGATAGTTGTTTTTCTGTTTGTGTAAAAATAGTTTCAAGGATCCAGTTCAGTAATAAACCTGACATTAGCTACTTAACAAAGGATGTAAGCACAAAATACACCGATAATGACAGACAAACTGTTAGTTTGAATAAGATACGGTGTCATGTTTGCTTGGCACCATTTCCCACAGGATCCTGATAGAGAAGCTGATGGAAGTAAAGGCTGGATGAGTAGACAGCAAGGTGGATTGAAAACTGGTTGAACAGCCAGGCGCAGAGCATGGTTATCAGTGGCACGAAGTCTAGCTGGAGGCCAGTAACTAGCAGTGTACCCCAGGGGTCAATACTGGGTCCCGTCCTGTTCAACATCTTCATTAATGATCTGGATGATGGAGCAGAGTGTACCCTCAGCAAATCTGCAGCCGATGCAAAACTGGGAGGAGTGGCTGATCCAGAAGGACCTTGCCAGACTGTAGAAACGGGCTGACAGGAACCTCACATGATTCAAGGCGTACAAAGTCCTGCGCCTGAGGAGGAACAACTTCAGGCACCAGTACAGACTGGGGGGCACCCAGCTGGAAAGGAGGTTTGCAGAAAAGGACCTGGGGGGTCCGTGGTGGACACCCAAGCTGAACATGAGTCAGGAATGTGTTCTTCTGGCAAGGCAGGCCAGCAATATCCTGGGCTACATTAGGGAAAGTATTGCCAGCAGGTCAAGGAAGGCGATCTTTTCCCCTCTCCTCAGCATCGGTGAGGCTGCACCTGGAGTGCTGTGTTCAATTCTGGCCTTCCTGTTACAAGACATGAACATACTGGAAAGCATTCAGTGGTGTGCCACGTAGATGATGAAGGGACTGGAGTGTCTCCCAAATGAGGAAAGGCTGGGAGAGCAGGGGCTGTTTAGCCTGGCTTTACACAGTGGCTGTTGCTTGTGCCCATCAGGTAAGCGTACCTCATTGGACCATGGTTCACTGAGAAATATTTCTGGATTGTTATGCTGGATCCATTGCTTTATGTTATGTGCTGACCAAAGGCGACCACCCAGCTCCAGAAACTTGGCAAAATCAAGTATTCTTTAAAATAGCCTAATGCCAATTTTTAATTACTAGTACTTAACAGTAGCTGAGGCTGGCATTGGCTTACCTAGGTGGTAATAGTAGGTGGTGTAAGTTATTTTCCTGTGAACCAAAATCTGATGAATGTAGCATGGTTTTTAAATAAGTTAATTCCTAATTTTAATTTGATTACATAATGTATTTTCTTAGGCAGGCATTTCAGTCAGTCTTCATAGAGACAACTAATTCTGTATTTGCTTTCCAGTAGAACACACACACCCACGGTTTTATGCCTGCTTCATTTTAAGAAACCTTGCCAGTAAAAAAAATACACATGCAAAGCATTAATTTACCTGCATCCAATCCCTTGTTTAACTTGAAGTGGATGTATATGCAATGCTGCCTAGGAGTATGGTTACAGAAACATAAAATTTAACATTACCATTAAAATTGAGATAGTGAAAACAGGTGCTGAAAGTATACCTGCATATGTATTTAAGAACAGAGCTCTGTACTGTTCAGCAGCCACTTACTCTCTAGACAGATTAGTATAGTAATTTTACAGGTAATGGATGGGAGTTTGTATGGATATTCAGTTGCTGCTGTTCTCAGCAATTAAGGAAATGATCATGACACTTTATTGTGCTAGAACTGAATTTAATTTAGGAAGGAATGGTGGCTAATAAAGAAGGTCCCCAAGACTGAGATTTTACCAGGAGGCTGGCTAGTGTGATCTGACTTTCAAATCGCATCCTTACCTGCATTGGAAATCTGGTTTCAACATCCTGTCAAAATGATGGAAAAATGCCACTAACTCCCAAGGCTCTCCTCTGCAAGGATCCAGGGCTTGTCTCCTTTGTTCAGCAGAACTAACAAGCCATTTTGTTAGACGATGTGGATTTTTTTTTTTTTCTCCTTTTCGATAGAGAAGACTTATCTAGACAACATGCAATTCTGGCCTGTTCTGCACTGAAGAAGATGTATAGGCGTTTATTAGTTACTGGAGCATCTGCAGTTGAAAGCAACCAGCCAGAACAACCAGGAGAAAATGCAGCAATGAAGATCCTCTTTGTTCATTTGGATGGGCCTATAGACATCATTGCTGGCCGCCTGGAGAAGAGGAGGGGACATTTTATGCCACCTGAACTTCTCAAGTCTCAGTTTGATACTCTGGAGCCTCCTAGCGCACCAGAAAACTTTATTACTGTCAATCTAGAAAAATCTCTCCCTGAAATAGTGCTGGAGATTGAGCATGCCATTTTTCGGAGTGAGGCTTTTCTGGAGTAAGTTTCCGAATTACACATGCAGAAATTCCCTTAAGCATAAGAAACAACATTTTAATTATTAAATTGATTATTAAATCCAAACAGCTTATTTTTCCTGATAATTAAATGAATGGCAATGTTAAGAGCTGGTTTACTACTGTTGGTATTCTGCTGTGGCTTCTGTAAAAGACATATGTAGGATGAAACTTGAAACGCTTCGCTACATGAAGTTAAAACTCCTGCTTTTGAAAATCCTGCCAAGGGTCAGACACAATGATTTAATTTCTTCATTTTAATTTTTACTCTGCCATCCATGGAGATGGGCAAATCTGCTATTAAGTGATGAAATACTTTGCAGCTTTGTTAGAAACAATGTATTTATTTTTCTAGAAGTCAAAAGGCAGGAACTTGCATGATGAAATTCCATGCTTTACACTACCACCGTCTCACTGCCAGATTTTGCACAAGTTGTAGCTTCTGTGTTAGTGTCCTTGCTAACCTCACCAAGGCACTGGTGAGTTCATGAGAGTTTTCATGAACTCTTACTGGATGCATTGAACACCAAGCTGAAAAATGTGAGAAAAAAGGTAGTGGTGGTGAGGCAATACACAAAACATAATTGTATGGAAAGCTTTAGAAATGAAGTGGAAGTGGCATAACAGTGGCTCCGAGATCACATCTTTCACGTACAAAGCATACTCATTGATGAAGTGCAATGGAGAGTATGTCAACCAGTGATCCAAGATACTGCGTACAAGATGATCATTTCCTTGTTTTAGAGAAACTAACTTACTCTTTCACAGTTGGACCTTCTCCTTCACTTCCCTCTTCTGGTGGGCTTTAGTCTTCCACCTCAGCTGATGCCCAGTCCAATATATGCTTATGGATGGGTGTCCATACAACTGCTTTAAAGCTAAAGATTAAGCTAATTGTGATACACATTTTTCATAACTTTTTGTGATCCAATTTCCAAATACCAAATCAGTTACCTAACTCACAGAATTTAAGGTTAAAAACCTTTTTTATTGCAAAGGTGTTTTTTAAAACGTTCTTTATGCGTTACTATGTAAGAGGTGCCTTTTTAGCTTAACAATGAAAACTGCAGATAAGTCTCTATAAGAAAGATCGAGTCACATCTGAGTGGAGTCATCTGCATATGCCACTGCACATGGATTATTTTTAGTGTGTCATGCAGGTTTTTTTATTTCTAGGATGATGAATGAGCTCCTTTAGAAGCAAAACTCGTATTTCAAAGCATCTTTGGTGTAATTTTTATCTGGATAACTAGTTCAAAACCATTTGTCTTGGTTCTCATTTTGTATGTCTAGTAAGGGCTTTGCAGTTTACCAAACTACTGTGCTTAGATCAGTGCAATAAATGGGCATTACGTGAATGAAAGCGGGCATTTTTAGGCACGGATTTGGGATTAAACATTTAAGACATTAAACACACCCACCCAGAAGTGGTCTTATCCTGTTTCAATACCAGGCAGCTGCCAGTTTTAAGTCTGCTTGCTGCAGCAGCACTAAGAAAAAAATGCTTGCTCTCAGTTCAGAACCTCTTTATGCTGAAAGCTCAGGTGCAAGTTTAGGAGTCAAGGCAAAGTTAAGTGCAAGAGACAGGCATTTCTGTCTAATTCTTAACACACTCAAATTTCAGAGACTAGGCACCTCTCTTCTAGGCACCAAGTGACTCATCAGAACTGTAAAGTTACACTTAGTAGTTACGAAAATCAAAGGAAATGGCACCCTCTTGTGGTACCTCTGCTTTTAATGAAGTCTTCATATTCTCTCAATACACCATTTTACAAACAGCTTTTCTGATATACCCATTAAATATGGATTTATGCTCACTTTTTTCAGACACAAGAAAACTAGATGAGGATGCTATACAGTGATGGAAAAGCAGCTGCATCCTGTCACAAACAGATCTGATCAGACCTTCAAATAAATAAATTTTAAAAGTTGGGCAACATTTTCAAGTGAGAGTGCTGAAAAGGCTAGACTCTCATTTCCAGGTCTGCTTGTCAGCATTCATAGCATAGCACTAACAGAAAATTGTACTCAACACTTAAGAGAATGGTTTTTAAGGAAGTCTATGTCAGCTCTTTGGGTTTTGGAAATCTTGTTTTCCTTTTGCAGTCATTACTTTCTCTAGCAGTAGTTTGATGATCAGGCAAGGCAGTTTTGTAGACAATCCCTACAAAGACAAAGAAGATTTTGTAGACATCATTTGATCTAATGTAGGGGAAAAAGAAGAAACCAGGAAAATTAAAGAGAGAAGCTTCAGGCACATGTGCCCTTCTTCTGCTCCAAAATGCAAGTGTCAATCTTCAAATACAAGCTATCAAAGTTCTCAGAGTTAACTGTAAGGTTGTTTCTGGAAGAAGAGGTAGATGATACTTCTGAAGAGAGAATTTTAAACTGGGACAAGAAAATGGGCAACAAGAATGGAGGGGTGAACAGCAGCATTGTTAGTATGCTGTTAAACCAGCAACTATGATCTTTCTTTTACTCTTAAAAATGTAATGAAAAGTCTACCCTACCTATAAACCTTGTTCTACTTACAGTGTTTTCTGACAAAACTAAAATTCCTCCTATGCAAAAGGAGGCTCAGTGTTTTACCAGTACTTGCAAAGAAAGTTAGTAACTGCTGTTACTAATCAACAATAGTTACTGATAAATATTGATTGCACTTCAACAAGGAAACTTAGCTCAAGGGCTCATTGTAGAATTTAGGTAAAACTTCATCTCATTGCATTGCAATAAAATTTGACTTCAAATCTAGCACCTCTTTGTAACGTGCAACTGAAATACTTGCATAGGTGAACTGAATGTTGTCTCAAGGTGTTCATGCTAGTTAGACTCATTCTTTTAGTATCCTGGTAAAGCCTAATAAAAATTATTCTCTTCCCCACCTTGCCCTTTCATTTGACAGTAACCTTTTTGGATGTTGCAGATTGTATTTTTAAAAGGACCTGCCTCCTGAATGATGAGGGGCCTTTCCTTTTTTAAAGCAAGGTCCCAATAAGGCACACTATGAAGTCAAGTCAAATTAGTTACTTTGAAAATAAAGAGTTATTGTGAAAATAACTAAAAAGTAGTGATTTTTCTACAGAAACTAGTTGCTACCTATCCTTCCACTGAGCACAAGACTGTGATAGGGAAGTGAAAGCTACCCACCCAACGGAAATGATGCTGAAGGTATGATGATGGGCCTGATCACTCCCTAGGAAATAAAAGTAGGAATAATTTTGTAAACTGTAGGTCCTAATTTTAAAAAGTTATTATATTAGATACATCTTACCAACAGATTCTATTTTAATTTATTTCTGCTTATTAAACACTGTCCTGCTGCATCTATGAGACTTTGATCCAAAAGGCAGAGGCTGCCAACCAAGAGATTTTCTTGAACTTCACCCAGTATGATGCATCAGCAGTATTTGATCAATTTACTTACTGGCAAAGTAAGAAACAAGATTACTGGACAGTGAGTGAAACTTCTGTGATAAGAATACACTGCAGCTACTTGCCAACAAAACTGCATACATGGCTTTGCCAAAAGTTTAAAATTTCACTATATGCTGAAATGTGCTCAACTTCTTCTTTTATATGGCATTATAATTTTGCTTCAAACTAATTAACAACTTTGAGTTAAAACAAGTAATTTTAAACCATTTGCAATAAATTAATTTTAGAGAAAAATGAATTTATACTTGCATCATCAAAAGAAAGGCTGTTCAAACCAAGTGTTTAAAAGCAATACAGGAATTCAGTGAGCACGTTCACAACTACACTGACATGGAAGACCAAGAAAAAGCAGATGCTGTTCAGTAAGACACACAGTAGTGTCTTTTATTCTGCTAGCCCCACTCTATCTAAGCTAGTAGGCTTCAATATCATATGCCTCTTAACTCTCTTCCCTCCACCTCACACTCCCAAGAGTTGTTTACTAATCTTGTCCCAGAGCTGGTGAGTATTTCCCAAGGTTACACTCAAATGCCAACTTTTAAGCTGGCCAGTTATCTTGAATTCTAGGTAATCATCAACTGGAAACACATTGAGACAGGTTGCTTAAAGAATTCATTTATTACTTGTGCACAAGAAAAGAAACTACCAATAAATTTCAAAAGATATACAGTATTTTTTACATGGTGGTTAAAAGTAATTAGAATATCACATGACCATGAAAGTATACCCAATTACAAATCAGAATACGTGTTGGAATCTCAGTGGAACAAGCCAAAAAGCCTTAGCAGCACTTCCAGCGCACAAGGCAGCACCCCTTTAATTTGCATGATGGTAAAGGTAATTTACAGTTAATCTTTGTGAATATTGAGACAATGTTACAAGGCAAGTTTCTATATAGGTAGATGTAAAGAGATAACCAGAACAATAATTCTAGTATACTTTAACTGAACTTGCTTAAGCATTTTTGCTGAGATGGTTACCAAAAGATACTGGAATATTCTACACCAAAAACATGTCTTAGGACTTCCCCCCCACACCCCGGCCCCGGCTTTTTTGCATTACTTATAATCCCATTCTATTGCAATGTTTAAATTTCTAGAAACAAGCTGTCTCCATTGTATATATTCTGTTTATACTTTATACAAATTAAAGCCAAAAAAATTGGTAGATTACTCAAGTGGTATAAATCTTAGAGCATTTTGCTAGCAAAAAGAACTCATGCCAAAATCACAATAAGCAGTGTTGGTACCCACAAATTGTAGCTTCAATTATTTTTTTCCTTTTTAATTTGTATTCTACATAAACATTAGCCTTCAGTGGCAATTTAGGTAGTAAATACATTGAACAGTTGTAGGTCAGACAAAACCTCTTTACCCAGCTGTGAAAGCTGATACTGTTTTAAAAAAAAATCACAAATAATGCAGAACAAGGTAAGTGTGGTACATGCAGCAGAGTGAAAATGCATTGATTCCCACTGTTTGAAGAAAACTACTGCACTCCACCTTAAAATGCATCAGACCAATTTTAGTTATAACAAGACAATCCCAAGAGTCAGAATGAAATAAAGCAAATATTTTAAAGATTTAAGAGCTGTTATCAAAAATAAATTACATTTTTTCAAGTTAAAGAAACACTGCTATGAAGGCTGAGAGCCAAGCAGCCTTTCAATAGCTGCATTGATGTCTCCTCCTGTTGCTATTAGTGCTTGCAAGTTTGCTTCATGGTTCAGAAAGCCCATTGCACTCAGCTGCTCCAGTTGTTGCTGAAATCGAACTTCTGGATTTTGTAACTGCTAAGAACAAAATTTCAAGCTATAAAAGCACAAGACATTTAGCAAAGTACAGGATTTAAATATTGGTGCTTCTGCACCACTCCCTGTGTTTACTGATTTCTGACTGCATCTTTTTCAAGATCCTAAAACTATGCTATGACATAAATTCAATTCTGAATTGAATTGTTTTTAATAAGTCAGAGCAGCTTCAAATTTTAAGAGTATCTACACTTGCATGACAGTCTTGAACTACAGGAAAAGCTGCTTGTTTGATAAAAAAAAGACTAAAAATAAATTGGGAAAATTTATGTCCCATGAACAGTTTCTTAAAGATATGTGTATAGGTTTTTTTAAAAATTTAACAGAGTTCAACCTAATAATGGGGAACAGCAAGGATTATGATATCACTGTCAGCAGTGGTGCACATCACAGGCTTTTTTTCCCCTTGACAGAAAAATCACCTCTTTTTTACTGCTCCAAGTATTTGTTGACTAAAATTACCAAGATTCTAATTGTTAGAAAGCTTCAGTCTAAGGCATACTGGCAGCTGTGCTTTATGGGATGATCCCACTCACACAAACTCATGGCAAAATTCTGCATAATTTCATTGGTATAATCTTCAGAGGCATTTTTGAATCAGAACAATTACAGGAAAACAATAATGCTGGAGTAATAATGAGAAGTCATTTTTTGAAATCAATGAGTCAATTTAGATGCCAACACAAAATTTGTGCAGCTACTGAAAACTTTCATTCTGTTCCAATTCAACAGTTTCATACATCAAGATATTATTACCAGTATTTAAAATCTGCATATGGTTCCAATCCAATATAAAGACATAACCTGAACTTTAAGAACTGCCCCCACCTGCTTCCCCCAAGCAAAACTACACTGAATGTTGACTGAGTAGTGTAAGATTTGACAGCATGATAAGTGAAAACTTATGAGAATATGGTTTCCTACAGTGACACCGACCAACACTTTCTCATGATTAGATAAAAGAGAAAAAAGTCTGTCACATCAGCAAACTGAATTAACTCACTCCATGGCAACAAAGGAGGAAAAAGCAGGCCTGCCCTTTCCACTGCCATTACACCATGGGTACGTACCACAGTGTAAAGGCACCATTTCACACAGCACTCCAGAGTTAACAGCATGTCTCCTTTAAAGCCGGTCTTGCTCGCCACCCCACAGCTACTGGCAAAGCTGCCACCTTTGCTTGACTTCTGGAGCTCTCTGGAAACCCTTAACCTGACTCAGGATGTTAACAAAAATGCCCTGCAGTCTGGACCTGCAGGACATTAGTGAAGCCACACAACAAATTCAGAATCCAAATAACCGGAGTGTGGCTATTCCCAAAGTGTAGGCCAGAGGCTTAGACACAGCTAGAGGTAACAACCAGCGATACAGACAAAAAGCATAGCAGTAATGGTGTTCAATATGCTTAAGCTTTTCTCTTGCCTGAGCTCACACTTCACTTGTGAATGAACTTTATCACCTCAGCTTGCCTCAATCTTTCCAAGCATTTCAGAAATTCAATGAACTGTTCAGAGGACACTTTTACTCAGATCTGAATTTTTGCACTTTTAGGCCTCCTCTGCTCCCCTTTAACCAGAAGTATCCACAGAGCTCTCCCGTCAACTATCAGCCTCCTTTCTAATGGTTTACAATGAAAAAATAGTCAGAATTTAAAAAAAATCTAGAATAGTGTGATGCACTTTACCTGAGTATTTGCACCAGCAAGTGCCTGCAACATTTGCTGGACAAATTGCTGGTGACCAGGTTATGGACTTGTATTTTCACTGGGAACAGAACTAGGTAGAGTAGACCTTGGAGGAGCTCCAGTGCTTCCCAATCCACCTAAACCAGGACTAAATCTGCATAGAAGACAGGAAAAGAAATACACACCTTGAATAATAAATACTAGCTTGTCTCTTCTCATTTAATTACCGAGCAAAAATCCTGTCAAAGAGTGGATGACAATTTAAGTAAAGTACTACGACAAAGACCAGTCATGACTGTTAAGCGCACAGCAAGCAAAAATGTGGCAGATTCTAAAACAAGTTTAGTTAAACTAAAAAGAGGCAGGAGGAGGAGTCTAATAGATATTTACCCAGCTTTTATAAGTAAAAAGAATGAACAACGTAACACAAGAGGAAAGGTCTTGTCTAAATTTGTAAGGCTGATTCTTACCCTGGTATAAGCCCCGGTGCTTCTCTTGCTAGTGTTTGCAAGCCCTGCTGAATCTGTAGCAAAGCCTGCATTGCTCTTGGGTTTGACATAGCTGATAATGTGTCAGGATTCTGCATCTAAGAAAAGGAGATAAACTCTTAATCATATGGATATGTTCAAAGTTAATCTTTATCACTAGACGTTTTACAGAATCCAACATAATTTCAGGACTTGTTTTTCAACTTTATATTTGAATATTTACACAAAATCCTTTGGGCATTTTTCTTTTTTTGAAAAAACTTTCATAGGAGGTGACCAATGAACCCTCTAGATGTGAACAGAGCCTTTCAAATGAGAAATACACAAGAAAAAGTATTTTTCATCACCTCTTCTAGCATACCACATCATCTTTCACAGCCATAGGACTGTATTAGTCCAACATCATTCTAGAATTAGTCTCCTATATCAGACAACTGGTAAGCAACAATGCAGAACACAATGAAACTTGACCAATAGATATCTAAGAAAAAGTTGCACAGTATTTCTTTTTCCTATCTAAATTCAGACCACAGCAGCTTAAGCATGACTATTTGTGCATGTTTTCATACCTGTAGTGCCCTCACAGCCTTGGGAAATGCAACAAATATACTGCAAAACATACTAGCAAACAAATGTATAATGTTCAAGGGCTCACACTCTACTGCTACTTCAAAAAACTGGCTTTCACATCCACAGATAATTTAAAAAGTATATAATTTTCACTTCTGAAATTAGATGTCCAGAAACCCGACTGTTTTAGATACAAAACTAAAACTCACGGTTTATGTTCACCTTTGTTTAGAGATGCCACAGGTAAGTGAAAAGCAATGCATTTCAGTCATAAGTGACAAGAGTCTAGGTAGCCAAATCTTTTACAAATAGCAGACAGTCTTATTAATCTTAGCAGCCTTCACTTGGAAAGTAGACCACATTCCTTCTGCTGGAAAAATGTTTTTGATTACCATAGAAGTACACAGACTAAGGTCAAACTATCCTATTGCGCAGAGCGGAATAGGATACAAAGCACTGGTCTGGAATATGGGTGCATAACGAGACTCAAGTACAGCAAGTTGTTAATATTCTCTATTAATCTCTTGGATTTTTATCTTCCTGATAACTAAAAGTCAGAGAATAAGTAAATATACAGCTGGCAAAGTTTACTCAAATTTTAAATAGGAAAAAATACTGGGTTCTCCAAAGAAGGCTGCTGCCGTTACTTTAAGAAAATATTTAAGTCACTACTTACTGTTTGATATTTGGAGTTGTTTTTACACAAATGGTGGCCCAACAACTCTGAGCACTTAGGTGACCTAGACATTGCCTCTAATGTTATTAATTCCAGCTATTAAGTGGCAGCAATTGCTGTTAAGACTTGTATAAAAGCCGCAGATGGAGTAGCTCATAGATAGTTTTCCTAGTTATGTTGGGCAATTGCCCTTTACTGCAAAAGATGCCTTCCATTACATGGAAGAACATGACATGGTTCCTCTCACCCAATCCCACAATGTAAATGCTAGTAGCTAAAGCAAGGAAGTATGAGCTGCAATATTGTCAACATTCTGAGAATACCCATTTATTTCTCCACTTTACTTCACCAGCTAACGTTGCTGATCACCTGTGCTAACACAGTGAATACAACAGAGAACTAGCTGTGCACAAAAATCCCAAGGTGATGACGACAGAAGGTGATGCTGACAGGAGATACCTTAAGGAAACAGAAGTGACTCCTACTGCGCCTTCATTAATTGCCATTTATTCACAGATTTCAGAACATACATGTGGTACTAGCTCTTCAGATACCAGGTCATCACAAAGCAGTGGCATTATGAAAACTACAGCCATTCATGTAGCTGAAACAATTTAAAGTTTCTTCCAAACACTGAACTTACTACTGTAATTATGTGTTAAGTATTGTTACCCAAAACTGCCTGTGTGCAATCAGATCTTGGCAACACACATTTACTCTGATTTGCAAGGGAACGCAGTACTACTACACACTATGGCAGCTAATACCAAGCAGATACTTGGGCTGCAAGCACAATGTTGTCAAGAGGGGAAGATGGTGGCAGAGTAATCTTTACAGGCGAAAAACTTGAGAACCCACTTCTTTTGAATAAGCTAATGACTTGGGTCTTTCATGGGATGCTGTAAGATCTCTTTACCCAAATACTTAAAGGCAGGTCTGAAGAGGTACAAGACATGCATAGTGAAACTTTATTCTAGTAGAGGGGAAAGTACTAGTGTTTAATTTGTGAAACAAATCATGTTGCCAACAGCTGTTCTCTGGCTGGTGCACAGTAGGAACAATAATTGCTTTTAAGCAAAGCAGCAAGGGCAAATCTAAGTGGCTTTTGTCTGTGGCTCCCCCCAAAACCCCCAAAAAACAGGGTTTAATTTTTCA